AGTTTCTGTTCTCCTTCTGCATTGATTTAACATTTATTACTTCAATTCATTTGAAAAACAAAGGCTCTTTTTATCTTGAGTACTTTTTGTTTTAAAGTATCATGAGCATCGGTGTCACCAGAAAAAACACAAACTTGTTTTTTTTCAAACTGTTACAAATTCAGTCCAGAGGGACAAGATTATTTTACTGAAATCTCTATTCATTGAGGGTGGAGAGTGTGGGTATGGGGGAAAGAGAGGCATGAATGCTTCTCTAGAGATTGAATTCTTTTTGCCTTTTACCAACTCCTCCTCTCAGCTCAAGCTTTCACATGTTGCTTATACTATAAGCCTTCACAAGGGTCAAATTATGAAAGTTTAACTTAATTTTTTAAATATTACTTTTAACTTGCCACCCCCTGTTCCCAGAGACGACGGCAGTTGTTCTGAAATACTATCATTTTTGACTAGAAAAAATAATATATCAACTATTTAGTTTTCTCAATTAATAGGATGTCTTCTGATCTTCTAAAGAATGTTTTCACCCACACAATTCTTTTTTAGAAAAAAAAAAGAAGGTTCAAATTCTGTGTACCAGAAAAACCCTCATTAAAAATGAATTTCCAATATGGGATGTCAGAGTAAGGGCAAGTGCTCAACAATGACATTTGCTTAAATTCTGTTGATCACAGGCCTTTCTTATATACTAATGGAGCATTCCTTTTAAGAAAAAAAAAAGAAATAGCAGATGGAAATTATGTAGGTCTTTCTTTTTACATGATTCAATTGAATAAAACCTTGGGAAGAGTACTGATATTTGTCGGTTTGCTTTTCATATCGGTTTTCATCTTGGTTTACTTAGAATCCTAGTAAACCAACTCATTTTGAAATTTTTAATTCAGCAATTTATCTTAAAGAGGTCAACTAGTTCTACCAGTGGCACATATTTTGGGGGTGCTTCTCCATCAAACCACAGTAAAATGAGGGTGTTTAATAAAGTACACAGAAATGTCAAGTACATTTAATCCACTAAATCTTTCAAATACATCTAAACTATATTTTTTTCTTATATTCTTTTATACACAAAGAATATAGCAAATGTTTTTACCTAGCACTCAAAAAGATTCAGGGTATCTATAACCTGGGGAGGTACTTGGAAGACCATCTCACAAATTAGAACAAAAATTGTTACTTTCAAATTGCAGTTTTTATCATCTTAATTTTTTGTATACACACACATACATTAGTTTCATCCAATTCATGAAAGGATCAGAAATCATTTCCAATGGAGAAGTGCTTTAATATGTATCTTCTATGACTATATGTGTTTTTTTTTTAAACAAGAATTAACCAATGTCTTGTGAAACTGGAAGTGTTGTTTCTCTAGAAAATCAAGCATACCACCCAGAAAACTGCCATCTTTGTAATCCATCTCAATATGGGGTGGGGCGAGGTTAAAAATAACCGATTCAGTTGACAGCAATGTACACAACAGCATTATCTTCATATAAAGCACCTGCTCAAATTTGACTTTGTCGTAGAAGTTAATTGCATTCGAAAACCTGAAACTTAAGATATTAGGAACTCAGTTACAAGTAGATAGCTATAGCACATGATGTAGATTGTGGGTTAAAAAAATAACAGAAAATAGAGAGACTGCTTTGAGGAAAAAAGCAAAATAAGATTTTTTACTTATACTTAAAATTTAACATTAAAGGGTCAATATAATATTTCTGACTTTCAAAAAGTAATAAATGATGCAGTAAAATAGATGGCTAAGGCTGCCAAATCAATGTCAGGCTTGATCATGTCAGGACTTAGGCGGTGGATTCTCAAAGCAGGGAGTAATGTTCCGGGGGTGGGGGGAGGGTTTAGAGAGAGTGTGGGGGAGGGGTGAACCAAAATTTACATGTCACACATGCAGCCAGATTTTTTAAATTCTGATAAACGCCTACCCAAGTCCACCCCTGCCTTGTTTCTACCTCAGTTGAGAAATAAATTTAACCTTAATTATTCCTCACTTTTTTGGTGGTTTAAGAAAAAAGCTGAAAAAAAAAAACTTTATTTAATCGTGACCAAGAGGTAGACATATGATTCCAAATACTTTTGTAAATATTTTTCAGGCATGTAGTTTTTTTGTTTTGTTTTGTTTTGTTTTTTTTGCTTTTTAAATCACAGTTAAAATATCTATGTGTGGCTGTACTTCTGTACTATTTTATAACTGAATCATTCTGGGACAGTTGTGCTTTTCTAAATGATTTACTATTTTTACATTTTTTAAATTAAAAATTCTATAGATAAGCAAATATAAATGTGGATTTATTAAACTTTCAAACATCCAAAGGCATACAAGTATCATACAACAACTGGGGGATAAAAAAATATCAAACATAAATTAATATATCAGTTTTGTTTTGTTTTTTAATTATGCATTTATTTATCTAAACGTAGGAGTATCTGTCTGTATTAGCATACTCCAGGCTTCAACATTAAGTTGTTTGTCTTACAAAATGAAATCCAGATTGAATGTCTTTTTCCACCATAGAGTCAATTTTGACCCTTTTTAAACTGAATTTTACATACAATCTTTTATATTTCCTGGAACACATCAAAATCTTTCATGATTTGACATTATGCAAGTGAAACGAATATATTTCTAAATCTGCTAATTCTGTTTCATTTTGAGAAATATAAACTTACTGTCCTACTCTAGGTAACAAGAGCTAGAGAAAAATAAATATTTAAGACATTTAAAATACATATTAATGAAATGGTACCACTATTTAAAGTACTTAAACTAATTATATGTGATATTTCAATAGAATAAGTCATTAGTCCAACTCTTTAAATAATCCCAAAGTGACATGAATTCCTCTGCAGAATGAATGTCTATAGAGAGTAATCCATGGAAGACAGACAAGCCTCTTGTCATTTGTAGCCTTAATCCATTGCCTAGAGCATGAAAAGTGCTCAGGATAACAAGTGTGGGAATCAGTAAAATCAACATTATTTTTGGTTTTATTTTCTTAACAATACTGACTGATCAATAGGCTTGCAGAAACTGACAAATACAATACGGGATCTGTTTGATGAATCAATTTAGTGAAGCAGATAGAGAATCCCTCCTCCCCTTCCCCCACTCTCCCTCTTTAAATCCTCTTCATCGTCTTCTTCTTCCTCTACTTACACACACACACACACACACACACACACACACACACACAGAGGTAAGGAGAGAGAGAGAGAGAGAGATGGGGGTGGGAGGTGCTCGTTCTCTATTGGTCTGTGGATGTTAAGTAATAAAAGCTGCAGGAACAATGCTCGGATCATTTTTTATAAGACTAAGCCACTTTCAATGAGTGTTTATGTTTTCAATTGTGAGTCTCACCCTCTCCTTTCAGCTGAGAATTTTTCATATTATTGAAGTAGAGTTCTCTCCTTATATTTCAAGTATATGTGGGGAGTGGGGAGGTGGGGAGAGTGTAGAGCACAAAAAGTTGGGGAGTAAAGAAGGGAAAGTTGTGTCCTATTAACTTTTATATATCCATCCATCAAAAGAACTGGAATATAGGCTTTGGGGAAAATTGCAAGAAAAATAGAAGAGGAAATTTAAACACCTCAAACAACACGCCTATTTAGGAAAGAACTAATGGTGTTGTGTGACTGCCTGAATACATGCGTCTACAGAAAATTTAGTAACCCTTCACCAGCTCATGAAGTCACAGAGATATTCTCTTTATATTGATCTTTGATACTCAGCAGGGACTTTTGTGAACTTTGTCATCTTCCTCTGCCCTTTAAACCAAAACTAAGGAAGTGGCTTTAATTAATGAGATGCGATGCATTAAAATGTTAGCCAGGGCATTCCAGAAGCTGGAAAACCGTAGATGTTTTTAACTTCTAAATATCCTTTTGAGAATCCCCTGTTGTAATTTATAATTCTCAGTGGACCTATATTTGTCTTGAACTGATTGTTGAAATGGGCTTTACTAGGAATTTCTTCGCTGAAATTGCAGTGGGGCGGGGGAAGGGAGCGGTTGAGCCAAGGGGGCTTGTAGGGAGGAGGGAATGATCTCTAACAAGGTTTTAAAACCTTCAGTGGTTTAAGTTATATTGATGAAAAAGAAATGCAAATACACACATATACGTGTGTGTATGTATGTATGTATATATGTATACATACATAAACACAATATATATGCATACATACACACATAATGCACAAGTTCAGCACAATTATATAATGAGCATGAGTTGTAAATTATGTAGGTAGCAGAATTCAGATTTTTTTAATCAAGATTGCACCTAAAAATGGCTATAAAACAACGCTTGCCTTGGGAAGTAAATTTATAGCTACGTGCCTTTCACAAGCACGCTGGAGGGTTCTGCTCCCGGCTCTAATCTCTATGAGATGTTTTTTGCATGTGTTGTGTGACAGGAGGGAAGGGGAGTGGGTTGAGCTTGCTTGTTCTCCCATTGTCAGCTAGTCTAGTGAGTGTTGGGAAAACCTGTCTGTGGGATCTTGTGTCATCTCTTCCTACATGTGTACAGGAAAAGTCCGCGGTGCTCACGGTTTCATTCTCTCTCTCTCTCTTTCTCTATTTCCCTTTCATTCTGCTTCCCCGGAGCCGAATGAAGCAGGGAGCAGGATTAGAGTCCGCCACCAGCTATCAGAAGAGCCTAGATAAAAGGAACTGCTTTTTAAGCACCACTGCAGCAGCCCTTGTTATTATTTTATTTTATTTTTTTTTTCCTCTCCACACAACAGTTGTGCCTCATTATCCGGTGCCTGGCTCGATTTTTTTTTT